AACATCTGTGTTCACGCCTCTTCCAAAGCACTTGGGTTCCTGAGAAATGAATGGCAACAGAGCCGAAAAAATTGCCCCGCTTCTCAGTTTTCTGTGCTGACGTCAAGTAACCAGGATCCTGTGGGCTCCCTCGGCATGCTGGGCCCGCGCAGGCTCACTGCAGGCTCCGTGCCAAGGCTGGGGCAGCAGTCTCCTCCCGGCCTCGACTGCTGGGTTTCTCCAGCTGTCTCCAGGGCAATTCTCCCTAAATGCAAACTATTAGCATTTCCTGTTAAAACATTTTAATAAATAAATGAATACATCATCTTCCCAACCCAAAGCAGGTCTGAAGGCAGCCTAGGAGCTACTCTGAGCTAAGGACGGACGGGGACCACCCAGCACCAGCCCACTGGCGCGGGGCCAGAGCTGCTTTTGTTTGAATTCCTGTATGAGTAACTGCTCGAACTGACGCCAGCCAAACTCAGTGAAATATTATTTTTAATATTAAATAAATAGATGGTGGGGTGTGTTGATCTTTTTTATTTTTTTTCCCAGTAAATTGCAGCATCACAACCTAGAAGCCAGTTCTTGTGTCCAGATTTCCTCAGATAGCAGAAGGAAGGTTGACATTCTCTTTGACCTTCCTCATGGAGCGCTTACCCCCCAGGAGACAGAAAAGTCCCAGTTGGTGTTGACAGGACCCTATTTGGAGTAAGTTGGGAGTTCAAATGGTAACCAACCATTTTGTTATTTTCTAACTTACAGTTTTCTTTTAATATGCAAAAAGCATGCACGCCTTATACATATTAAAATCCAAAAGCACAGATAAACAAGAGGTTGAAATCAGAAAGCACGGATGAACAAGAAGTTGCCGAAGCCCCACTACTCAGTATGAGATAACTCCTGTTCAATTTTGGTGAATGTTCTTTCTAGATTTTTCATATTTTTAGGTATACATCATACTCAGTGAATGTCGATTTTACAAAAATGAACTCACACTCTACATGTGTATTTTTTCCACATGGGATTAATTTGGGGCATTAGTTTAATATTCTCCTGCAATCTGCTTGCCATGGGTGCATAATAACCTGTCATGAATATGCCACAGCAGCTCACCCCATCTCTCTCTCTTGTTTCCAAGTCTTTGCTATTATAAATAACACTCCAGTTTAATATATGTGCTGCTGAAGCGAGCACAATAACACTCCAGTTTAAAAAAAAAAAAAAGGAAAGAAATAATATATCCTTGTAGTTAAATCTTGTCTTACATCTTTAATTATTTTCTTAGGATAAAGTCCCAAAACTAGAATTTTAAGACCTGGGCTACATATTAATAGTCAAATTGCCCTCTGGAGTGATTATACTAACTTATATTGCCACCAGCAAAGATTCAAAATGTTTCTCTGTTTGTAGCCCTGTCATGATGCCTATTATTCTACAAAAATTATCTTTGATAATTTGTTAGGGGAAAAAAGAAGTAGCCAACCTAAAACATTTAGCACGAGAGGTGAACAACACAGAATGCGGGTCATTCTGAGTGGTGGGTGGCTGCGACATGGGGCAGTGAAGGGGACAAATGACAGAGAGCTGACCTGCTGTGATGACAAGTGAGAGACACCTTGACACCTGGCATTGCTGGATGAAGCCAGAGCTCTTCAGCCCCAAGACAGGAGACTGTAGCCCAGGACTTTCCCAAATGTATTCACAATAAAATGCATTTATTTGGAAGGAAAAAACCCTGAGGTCAAAGAGGATTTGGAACTGGTGGGATGAGCAAGATTTGCTCAGTTGCATTGCTTTGGGATTTTTTAGAACCTACAAAATGCTAATGGGGTTTGCTGAAGAGCCAGGGGACTGTGATACAGGATGTTTCCTGAGCTTTTTATCCTCAGAGCCAGCCCCTCCTCCTCTAACCAGTCTTTTTTCTTTCCCAAGAAGCACCTATTAGATCTAGTGCTTGATGAAACTCACTTTAGGAAATGCAGCCTGAAGCCCTAAATGGAAAAATGTTTTCACAGAAAGGACAGAGAATGGGAGATAGGGCAGGAAAAAGGGGATGTGGGAGAGAGAGAAAAGGAACAGGAAAAGCAGGAGAATAGAGGGAAATTAGAAAAAGGGACGGGAGAGAAACATAAAGGGGAAAGAAATGGAGAAAGGGAGGCAAAGAGAAGAAGGGAACATTTTAGAGAATGAGGAAAAGAAAGAGTAGGAAAAGTATTGGTAGGGAGCCCCTGACTGCTAGCACCACTCCCCACTGCTTCAGGAGAGACCCACGTGGCTATAGGCTCCTCCAAGCTCAACTGCCACTACCGGCCACCCCAACACCCCCATTTCACTGGCTGAGGCGGCTACCCATCTCACGTTCCTTCCTCAAGGGTTATTACCTAAGACGCAAGAATTGATTTACAAGGAAAGCTCAGAACAGAAATAGTCAGCCCTAAAGAAACTCAGAAAAAAATAAAACGTTCAATGTTTTTGTAATTTCTCCTTTTGTCACTGTCTTTTATTGTTGTGTAACTTCTCATAGCACAATAGGACACTAAACAAACACAGCCTTTTCAGTCAAGGAGTCTAGTTGCCTAAGGAGCAGATGAAGGCAATTGACAGCTTTTAAATGCCAGCTGAGTCTTTCACCCAAGAGAGCTTGCTTTCAAGCAAACGGAAAGCACCAACGGGGTCAAATAAATTCCTAAAAGCTTAAATGCTGTGTGAGTGCATAGGGCAGAACCCTTTAGAATTCCACAACAAAAAGATATTTAATTATTTAATAGGGAGCTGGTTGTTATATATTTTTGAAAAGATTTATTTATTTATTCATACAGGAAGTGGGGTGTAGGCCAGAGATGCAGGAGTGAGAGGATTCACCAGAGACTGAGTGGGGAACAGAACAGGTGGATCTGCTGAAATACACTGCTGAGGGGAGCAGCAGGAGAGACAGGAGAGATCTGCTGCGCCATGTGGGTCACCTCCCTGGCTGGAGATGAAACTTGTGCTGCAGTGGCTGTGGATAGCTTCTTACTGCTGAGACTTAACTCCTTGCACCACCAGGGAGCCCTATTTGTTCTATTTTAAATCTCAACACATGCTAAAACACAAACAGGCATTTTGAAATATACTGATAGAGCATTCCTCCAAATCTGAAAGCCCCGGAGAGCTCAGAAATATGAGAAAGGATTTGAAGCAGTTGCATTAAAATCAATGTCAGAATTCATAGAACAGCAATTCCCCACCTCTTAGTCACCAAGACAAAGTGTTTTAGCCTTGTTCTCTGTGGTCATTTCCTTGCTTTGGCCTGCACTCTGTGCTCATGTCCCCTGCTGCTCATGGGTTCAGTGCTGGACACACAGGTTGACCATTAACATTCCAAAAATGTCTGAGGTGTGTAAACAAACGTAAGTCACAGTGACTAGCGTAATACACAAGGGTTAGAAAGGGGAGTTGTTCTATTGCATCCAAAAGGAAAGAAACCTGACATTTAGTTACAAAGTCAACTCTCTCGAAGATAAGGAGTTGGCTCTTGATATTAAAAATTAGACAGAAGCCACTATTATTGACTTTGTAAATGCCCTAGGGGGGATCCCAGACCCCAAGGATGAAAATCCTCACATTTGAGATTTTTTTTCCTAAAACCTTCCAGCTTTTAATATTTGTTGCTTTTTTATTTTTATTTTATTTTATTTTTTAAAGATTTGTTTATTTATTTATTTATGCACGCATTGGGTACAGTCAGAAGTATGGGAGGGTGAGAGAATTCACCAGAGCCAGAGCAGGGAACAGAACAGGCAGACTGACGAAGTACACTGCTGAGGGGAGCAGCGGGCGGCAGGAGAGGTCTGAGCGCCATGTGGGACCCTCCTCTGGTGGCCGGGGAGCAGCCGGGGATCGAACCGGCGCCGCAGAGGACGCGGGCCGCTTCGCAACCCAGCGCTCAACCGCTGCGCCACCGGGGAGGCCCCTTTGTTGCTTTTTTAGAGTTGACTCACCTAGGGTCTCCCCGGTGGCGCAGCGGGTTGAGTGCCACACTGTGAAGCTGTCTGCAGCCTCTGCAGCACCGGTTCAATTCCCAGCCGACCAGGGAGAAACCCACATGGCGTGGCGGACCTCTGCTGCCTTGCCCACTGCTCCCCCAGCAGTGTCTTTGGTCTGTCTGCCTGTTCTGCTCCCCCCTCTGTCTCTGGTGAATTCTCTCACCCTCCCACGCCTCTGATCTGTACCCCAGTTCTTGTATAAATAAAAATAAATATATATATAAAAAAAGAGTTGACTCACCTTGCGCCTGTAACCAAGCGACTGGGGGTCCTCCATGCTCCTGTTCTCACCCCCGTGCCCGTGGCAGGCATCTCTGATTCATCTCTGTGGTCTTTCCCGTTGGGTGGTTTTTATTTCTTAATGCGATGTTTTAGGCAATCTAGGAGTCAGAGCTGGTGCTGAAGATAAATCAACTTGTCTTTCCTGCTCTACTTTGTCTTAGGTGATGTGTTCAGAAGGCTAGTACGGGAATACAAGCTCCAGATTCCTCTGGGTAGGGTAGCTTGAAATCCTGCAGTCAAGATGGAGAGATTAGAATCACTTGAGAGTAAGATCACACTTCTCTCCCTACGGTTGCCAGCTGGTTATAAACAGCCTCTCCTCTCTCTGGTTGCCTCCTAGCACAGGTACAAGGACTGAATGCTATCAGAATGAACAGGAAAGCTTATTCCAGCACTCTCTGATGCACTTGTGTTACTTGGATTGGGAATTAAGCCTGCTGGAATAGGGAAGGTGGACCCTGGAGGCTATTTCCAAGATTTGGGATAATATGGCACTTCTCAAAGGTTTTTTGGGAAACGTTTTGCTGTAACAAGCATAGGTCTTATCTCCGCTTCTGGCCAACGCTGGCATCTTTGCTGAGGATCACCTTGAGCTGCAAGGGATACAGGGCTGTCCTTAGGGGTCAGCACCATGGCGAGGGACATCAAGACCCAAATCTAGAATGTCCAGACTACCGCTTTGTGACAGCAGCTTCCCTGCCAGAACCAGACCAGGAACTGCTGGCAGAACCACCTGGCCCTCCACGGAGGTGAGAAAGCTGTGATCCCAGAGGGGGCAGATGCCTCTGTATGTGAGTGGTGCTGTCGTGGGGACAAGGCCCTCTGTCCCGTATCCAGGGTGTCAACCTGGGTTAACCACTGAACAGAAGGAATGTTTTCTGGAAAGACATAAACCGACTCTACCCATCTTCCTCTGTCTTTTTTCTTTTCCTCAGGGTGGTGAAGGGAGACCAGGTACATGGTGATCCCTGTCCTGAGATCCTGAATCACCACTTAACTAATGCTGTAAATACTCACTGGGAAGGAGAGTGGGGCGTATACAGGCCCATTGTAACGTACAATGCAAAATTTGCATGATTTTTATGAAAAAAAGTGTAAGCTTTCAAGGATATTGGCATAAGGGGGACCCTTTCTGCCCATGCCCCGGGCCTCTGAGGGTCTGTCAGTGTTCGCTGCTCTTTGGGTGGAAAGGCTGACGGGTCCTGCTCATGCCCACCCTGCCTCCCCCGCTTATTTCCTGCTCTTTTTCCCCTTCTTCCTCCTCCTTCTTACTTCCTCCGCCTCTATTTCCTCCTTCTCCTCCTTCTCCTTCTTTGTCTTCATTTATTTAGGGATGTTGCCACCCTCAGGTGCACCAAAGGCAGCAAAAACCAGACACCATCCCCCATGGAGGCTGTGGCTTGAACTCGCATCTTCCCTGGGCACTCAACAGTCACCTCCTCGGCCCTTGATGAGCAGGTCCCAGCTCGCCTCAGGTCAACATGTGCCTGAGAGCCAAATGCACCATTGCCAGGGTCTGCCTCCCCAGCTCTATCCCACCCCAAAGTAGCTTTCACATCTCTCCAGCATGAAAGTAACGTGACTGATTTCCATACTTGGGACCTAATGCGCCTCTCTTTTATCATGGGGTAGAGTAAGCTCACGTATTGAGCACCTGGTTTGAGAAGAACTTGATGAGAGTTTAACACTCAAGGCCACTCCCACAGATGAAGAATTATAAAGAAGAGTGATTAGTGTGTTCAATTTCCAGCAGTGCCCACCATGAACTGTGGGACTCAGGCTGGGCAAATTATTCCACCTCTGCAAGTCTCACTTTCCTCCGATATTGGATATCAGGGAGAACTGAAGAGGTAAATGTATACAGATTCAGCAAGCCCCCCAAATATATGCTGTTGTCAATGACCTGTGAGCTAGGTGTCAATGCAGACAAGACAGCCTTTGACTCTGGTCTGCTGTGCTCCAGGCTGTGGAACAAGGCAAGGCCATTGTTCTTCTTCTTTTTTTTTTTTATAAAGATTTATTTATTTATGCATATAGGAGCTGGGGTACAGGCCAGAGGTGTGGTGGGTGAGAGGAGTCACCAGCTACAGAGTGGGGAGTAGAACAGGCAGACTGATTGAAATACACTGCTGAGGGGAGCAGCAGGCAAGACAGGAGAGGTCTGCTGTGCCATGTGGGTTGCTCCCTGGCCAGCTGGGGATCGAACTGCTGCAGCGGCTGCAGATAGCTTCACAGTGCTGAGACTTAACCCCTTAGGGAGGCCCTAAGGCCCATGTTCTTGCCATTTCTGCCATGCTCTCTCTCGAGAGCACTTGTTCTCACCTGCTTTTCACCGTTACCAGGCTGTGCGCTCAGGGAGGCCACCTAGCCTTAAGTAAACAACTGCTGGAATTGAATGCATGAATGCCCATGTTAGTAAAAGGAGAGGAAACGATTTGAATTTGAGAGACAGAAAAGCACATATACCAGAGGCTAATAGATTAATTCATTCAGACAGTCAGTTAGTTAATATTTACCGAGTATTCATAGGATACTTGGCCCTATTCATATAAATTGTACCATTTTGGACGCCCGGAGGGAAGGGGAGGCAGGGTGTGCAGATTAGAAGACTGGGGAAGTCGCTCTGAAAGGGAGAGAAGTCTGAATGATAATTTTGTTTTCAGGTAATTGGAACCTTCACACAGGGCTTAAAAAGGGTATTGTTAGACAAAGTAAAAAATAATAAAATGATCTGATATATTAGTAGTTATGTGAAAACACTTCTGTTATCCCCAAACCCTGGTTATAGGAAAACTTTGCAAAATCTCTTGAAGATAGTGATTTTAAATTCCAAATGAACAGAGTCCAAGTGAAGGTTTTTATTGGAAGTTCCTGAAAAGATGACGCTTAGAGGATGAGATTCCAGAAAGCAGGACAATATGCCTTGAGGGAAGTTTATGCTCCTGAGTCAGTCGTTCATTTGATTTAGGAAGGTGACAGGCAGCAGAGATGGGAGCCCCAAATGTCAGAGGCACACATGGTTGGATGGTGTTACCACCATCATTGCTGAAAGTTTTTTTTTTTTCCATTGCTGAAAGTTTTGATGCATTTAGGGTTGTGGATGAATCGGTGGAGATGGGGCAGGGGGTGGGGTGGGGTGGGGGAGGAGGAGCCCCGAGCCAAGGATTTCTCAGTGTGGGCATCTGCAGGTTCCAGCAGGTTAGAGAACAGACAGGTTAAAGCAGGTTGGGTCACAAATGACACTGTGAGAAAGGACCCATAAGAGGGGCACTGGAGCATGAACCCCCGAAATGTCCTGCAGCAGGAGGGAGATGAGTCCAGGGATCTCCCCTCTCTTGAGGTCAGTCTTGAGATGTTAAGTGGATTCTGGCAGATGTAGGAAAGGGCCTGGAAGACTGTCTTGTAAGGTGCCTCCAAGCATTTTTGAATCCTAACCTCAGGTTGGGCCATGTTGGAGAATCATTTAAGCTTAGGCTTCTACTTCCTCATGCACGAAGGGGAGCTGTCACCAACAGTCCAAATCGTTGGGAGGTTATGAGGATGAAATAACTGGTGCCTTGGGGCTCAGTACCAGGAAGAAATGATTATTAATGAACTGCAGGGATCCAGAGGTCACCTCCCTGGCTGGGGATCGAATTCGTGCTGCAGTGGCTGTGGATAGATTCATAGTGCTGCATCTTAACCCCTTGTGCCACCAGGGAGGCCTGGATGCCTCTTTTGGTTTGGGAGTCTTTCAAAGGCAGGTTCTAGGGTTTCACCTTTAAGTAGTCATTAATTTACTGAGGTCATCATTACTGTTAATAACATAACTCTGAGCTATTTGGACACTTGGCTTCTGTGTCTAGTGGTTACTAATACCGAGACCAAGCAATCTCTGTGAGGACCTGAATCCAACTCTTACGGGTTTTAGTCACCAGAAGAAGAAATCGCTGAGCTACAGCAATCCAGTCAAGCTGTTGTGTTTGTCATTCCTGCTCTCACTGAATATCCTTACATTATTCCCCAAATCTCAGATCTCAATAAAAGAGACAGTATAGAAATAAGAAGAAAGAAACAAGAAGCAGAAGTAGAGATTCATCAGCTTGGCAGATTGGAAGGCATCTTGAAGTTTCTCCAGACCAACCACTTCATAATTAATTGAGGGGTAACAGTGATGTCAAGAAGGGATAGAGGGCCTCCCCGGTGGCGCAGCAGTTGAGCACTGGGTTGCGAAGCTGCCCGCGGCCTCTGCAGCGCCGGTTCGATCCCCGTCTGTTCCCCGGCCACCAGAGGAGGGTCCCACATGGTGCGCAGACCTCTCCTGCCGCCTGCTGCTCCCCTCAGCAGTGTACTTCGGTCCTTCTGCCTGCTCTGCTCCCTGCTCTAGCTCTGGTGAATTCTCTCACCCTCCTGTGCTTCTGACTGTACCCAGTGCTTGTATAAACAAAACAAACAAACAAACAAATAAATAAAATATGCCTCTCTCTCTCTCTCTATATATATATATATAAAAGAAGGGCTAGAGACAAGAGAAGGGCGGAAGGGGAGAGCCCTCCAAAGCAGGTGAAAAGGCTCTAAGGTGGTTCTAGTTTTTGCTGTGCTTCTAATAGCAATGTCTAATAGCCGCTCGCTGTTATACTGGCTAGACTTGGGTCCCTGGGGAACAGACAGCAGCCTCTTCTCCAAATCCTGAGGTCTCTGGCTGAGAATCTCTTTTGCAAAGAGGCAAGTGTCATCTCAAGTGGATATTCTCATCAGATAACCTAGGATAAATTATAATAGGCTACTTCCACTTAGCTTTTTAGTACTTGTTATATGTTACCAACGCTGCAATCCCATCCCTTTTAGAATGTTTTTTATCTCTCTCTTGAATTTAGAGAATAAACTTTTTAAAGTTCTTTTATTTCCTTATTTTCTCTCTCTCTGCCTCTCCAACTCTCTAGCTCCTGGCCTTTTGCCCTTCTGTCCTTTTTGATCATTTATTTTCCTTTCTGTCTTAATTCGCCTTTATCTTGCTCTAACACCGTATACAGTTCCCACTCCGTTTCAGGTCTGCACCAGCCCAAGGTAACTCCATTTCTTCATAGGGGGGAAAAGCTAGAAAACAAACTCCAGATCTCTGGTTTCTGTCTCTTCTCTTATTGTGTGACTCTCATTCCCTTCGTGCTTTCAATTCGTAGGCTCAGCATGGAAAAGAGAAGCGACAGGAATGCAGTCCATGAATCACCTTTCAACCAAAGACTAAGAGGCTTCAGCATTAAGGTGCAAGAAGTTCCAGGTTTACTGCGACTGGTTCTAAGTTCTGAGACAAAAAGCCACTGATATGATTAACAGACTAGGTGTTCAGGTTGAAGCCCAACCTGGATGACGTACTGCCCACCGGCACTGGACACTGCCGTTCTGGGTAGGCTTTGCTTTGGAATGATAGAGATGTCGGCATAAAAGTTCCTCAGTCATGTCGTCCATCCAGTGAAGGGAAACTTACTACTTCCCACGGCAGCCCAAGCACATAAGAAAGCTGAATTTCCAGGAAAATATTCCTATCCTATGTTTGATTTCACTGGTTGCTTGCTGAGCAAACTATCTTATCACGAAGAATAGTTTTTCTTAATTTTCAGTAGTCACAGTGATTGTCCTCATGTCAAGGTCTTTGTAAGAGAAAGAGCTTTAAAGTGATCAGAATCCCGGGGTACTTGTCTCTTTCAAGTTTCAGATGTAGAAGTAAACATGTTTACAAGGCACAGCTCTGTTTCATGAGCAGCGTCCTCATCATGGAGAAGGCTAGCTAACACTTCTGTAGCGTTTTGACGCACGTGTCAGGCACTATTTGAAATATTTTGCATATATTATATCAAGAATATCTGATTTATTTAAAATAAATTTTCCTATTTGTTTTCCTACAGGAGCCAAGAATATGATGGCACATCAGCAAAATAAGATGTCACCTAGCCCAATTTAGATGTCACCTAATCCAATCCCCAATTTTCCAGAGAGGGTATTACCTTAGGTCACACAGCTGTTAGTGGCAGAGTCAGATCTCCTGGCCGGTAGATTAGAAAACACCTTGAATGTTTCAAAGGTCTCAGTGATAACAGCTCACCATTCATAGTCAGGATCGAGTAAGGTGTTTTAGGAACCTGAGATTCCTTTCTGTTCCACATGTGGCTGATGCTCTGTCCCAAGGTCCCTAAATGACCTTTATGTTTTCCAACGCTTTCGTCTCTCAAAGCAAGCCCTTCTTTGATTTCCTCTTAGGCACTTGTGTCATATTTCCTTCCATTTCCCAGTCTATTTTAAAACTTTCCTAATGTAACCAAGTGAATTTCTGTCTGCATTTGAGTGGGATTTCTGGATCTGGGACAAAATGGTCACTTCAACTTCTCTGCCATTGACTCTCTTATCAGAAAACTAACAAGCACTGGTCAGTTGACCTATTCAAGATCTGTCCATCTTTCCTTGTATGGCCTGTGGTGATGGATATAAGAGGCGGGGGGAGCAAGTGTCAGGGAGAGCAGGACTCTGAGTACAATAGATGGATGGCCTCTTAGCTGAGTGTATGTCTGGCAGGAGAGAAGGTTGCTAACTCTCTCGTTGTTTGCATCCCTGGAAAGCCACCTAATAGCTCAGGGACAGCCCAGAGCAAGATATAGAGGTTTCTACCCAATTTTGGTTGTGCACATTTCTTCCCAAGAACCTCTGTCTGTGTTCCATTGACATTTGGGACCAGATCTTGCAACATTAGTAGAGAGGGTAGACTTTTTTCAGGACATGGGAATAGTCTACATCAGCAGCTGCTTTTCAGTATGACTTTCGTGCATCCATGTGTGGGTCACATAGATTATTTAAAAATCATATTCTTCTCCAAGCAGTGACAACTTTATAAACAATTTATACATGGACAAATGAGTTAAATTCAATCTATTACTAATGAGAAGCAATACCCAAGTTATTTTATTTTATAATGCCTTGTTCAGAATTTGCGTATTGGGCTTGAACTTTTTTTTATATATGCAGACATTTATTTTTAATGTAGATATTATTACAGTCATATTTATTAGGAAAAGTCCTGAAGAGAGATTGGTTGATTATTAGGTAGGTTTGGACAAAAGTGTGTTTTCCAATTGTCTAAGATTTTTCTCTACTTCATAACTAGAAAGATGGGATCACATATCTGGCACTCAGTCTTCACTGTCGCTTGTAATAGTGGGAGTTTTGTATGTGATTTAACTTTGAGTCTCCGCTGACTGCCATGCGCTAGATTGCCCTTACCCCACAGACAATGTGGTTTCCAACAAGATATCTGAAAAGCACAGGGACTATGTTTGTATAGTGGTAGGTACATAGACTCTTAGTAAATGTTTATTTCTGTGTGTGTCTATGTGTGTGTGTGTGTAGTGAAGAAGAGGAACTGTGCTGATGAGTAGGAATTGAAGGGCCATTTCAGAAATAAAGGATCTGTAAACAATCAAACTAACAACAACAAAAAAATCCAACACCAACCAGAAAGGAACAGAAGTGAGAAAAGAAAAAGTTCAGAAAAACGCTATCAACAACCAATATTTATTAAGCACCTCATATTTACACAATTAGGACCTCTGCCAGGTAACCAGTATATGTCATGTCTTCAAAGAACCTACAATTCTTTCGAGGAGACAAGATGTATTCATTTATAAAAGAGAGAGTTAAAGTGCAAAGGGGTTACTAACCCTGGAATTGAGAGAACAATCTCATACTTACAGTATATCTTTGGAGACCAGACAGAAGTTCAATGGTGCTGTGTGTGGGAGGCGAGGGCAGATGAGAGCATCTTGAAATGACCAGTCATTTGAGTCAGATGACAAAGGCTTAGGGTGTCTTAACAAGAGGAGATGGTTGGTTTTGTTCAAACAGCAGTGATGAAAAATGATCTTACTATTCTTTGGAACAACAGAAAGTCCCAAAACAAACCTAAATGGGGCTGGTAGTCTCCCTGCATTTATACTCAGGGGGGAGGGATGGGAGAACAGGCCAGACACTGAAGATCCAGCGCATACCCCTGCTTTCCTTATTTGGCCTGAGGGACACGGATACCCTTTGTTGAGTTACTTATCCAGATCCTCTCTAAGCTCCATTTCTTTCTGTCCCTAGCAGATCCCTGGAGAGACGCCCTTTCAACCCTCCATCTCTGCTAAATGCCTTCAGGGTCCCAGCAGTGGAGCCTGTTGGGTGGTTGGCTTGCTTCAGAGCAGACCACTATGGAGGCCTACTGGGATGGATAGAAAGAATTCTAGCCCAGAGCTCCAGGTTAGAAGAGAAATGACAGTCCCTCCCTCCTGAAGGAGTTCCCATGACAAAGTACAGCAACCATCCCACAGAGGGTTAACACTCCCCCCTCCCCTGCCCCCCAACTTGCTGCCAGAGATCAACTAATCTGATAATTACGGCAACAAACACAGTTTAGACAAACAAGACCTGACCCTGAGGGTTTGGAATGAAAACATTTACTCTCTCCCTCCCCAGAGAGATGGTGCCTGGAGCATACACGCAGAGAGACACTGGGAAAATACCCTTGTGCTGGATGGACAGGGTGAAAACATCTGTGTTCCTGAGCCGCTTAAGAAGATAAAGTTAATGGGGAGAAGGGATGGGGTGGGGGAGGCGGGCGGAGTGAGGAATGGTGCAGTGGAAGGGCGTGCACGCTGGGAGCAGATGGAAAATGTACCCATAACTGGAGATGTAAGCGGATTGTAATTGATTTTTACAACAGAGGCAGAGTGAGGGGAGAGGTACAAAGGAGACGCGATGGTGCAGAATTCCAGGGAAGAAAAACCTAGAGAGGGACGATAGGGGGAGAAACAACTTAAAATGCCAAAGTGGGATTTATTCCTAAGAGCTGGAAGAGAAATATATTCAAAGCAGTCCTCAAATTCTAAGTGAATTTGTTATCTGCCTCTTCGGGAGTGAGGTTCACATTCTAAGTTGACTGCTCATCCTCTTCTCACCCCCAGTTTTGCTTTTAAGCTCAAAAGCGTGTCCCTTTTCCCTCCCTGCCCTCCTTGAAACTTGTCCGGCTGCTTTCCCCCTTGTATTTCTACAGTTGCTGCTGCCTAGAAGAAACCTCGCTAGGTGGAGGTTCTGACCTTGGCTTGCTTCAGCCTGGAATTATAAGAATTACTCTTTTCCCAATTCCATCTTTCAAGTTTTCCCCCACGTCTCCATGTCCTAGTGTCAATGTCATTTCTTTTTACATGTGGCTGGTGGTGTGTCAGCGGTCAACACTCCAGCCCCAAATGATTTCTAGGCATCCAAATCCTTGGGGGGTTTGCAGGTCAGATATAAAGATGACACCAAGCTAAGAGCAATAACTACTGTGATTGATGATGGGATCACAGTTTAAAATGAACTCCATAAGGTGAAAGCTGGTCTAAAATCAATAAGATAGGGCACGCCAGGAATAAATGTGAAGCTCTGCATTGCACTTAGGTCCCATCGTTGATTGTACAAGCCTGAGTTGGAGAGACCTAGAAAACAATGGTTGTGGACAAACAAAACAAAATTTAAAAACTTTTGGTGGGTCACTGAGTCAATATGAGAATCAATGAAACTATCTGCTTAAATAGTGGATATAATCATAGTAAGCACTAATAAAAGCATGTGATCATGTTCACATTTCACTGTGTTCTTTTTTTTTTAAGATTTATTTATTTATACAAGCACTGGGTACAGTCAGAAGTGCGGGAGGGTGAGAGAATTCACCAGAGCCAGAGCAGGGAGCAGAACAGGCAGAGTGACGAAATACACTGCTGAGGGGAGCAGCGGGCGGCAGGAGAGGTCTGCGCGCCATGTGGCACCCTCCTCCGGTGGCCGGGGAGCAGCCGGGGATCGAACCAGCGCCACGGAGGCTTCGGGCAGCTTCGCAACCCAGCGCTCAACCGCTGTGCCACCGGGGAGGCCCTTCACTGTGTTCTTAATAAAGGAAGGGTAGAACTAAAAGGACTTTTTTTCTGAAATATAACTTGGCCGATTGACCGCCCAGAGCCCAGTATGTCGGACAAAACGATTTTGTTTTGTTTGTGCTTTAATTTTGGGTTCAAATCCCTTACTCTCATTGATGCAGGGTCCACCCATGATTGTCCATGACTCTCTGCCCTGCTCAGCTGGTTCCATTGGCCACTGTGTTTTGAATTTCACACAGGACCCCTTGGCTACCTCTCCAGGTTGAGGGGTGAGTCACCCCTTCCCAGGGGAGATGCATCTTTCCAAATAAGCCAGTCTTCTTACTGTTCCTCACACATCCTGTTGTAGAGTAACCCCGATACAAAACGGGGTGCCTGACTGTGGGTCCTCACCCTCACGTTTAAAAGGACTTATCAATGTTCTACTGCAGGCACACGTGAAAGGTTAATAAAAGGTTTATTTACAAGGGAAGGGGAAATGAGGAAATGTACAGCTCAGGGAGAAAAGTGGGAGACAAAGTCTTAAATGAGTCCTACCCGATCTGCCGATCAGGAATCCCAAAATGGCACTCTGAGAGCTGGCCGCCAGCCAGGAGCTGTGTAGCCAGAAGGCAAGTGACAGCGAGCCCCCCAAGGCCCACGTGTCTGGTTTTTATATCCAACCTGGCTGCCCAACTCCACCCTCAGGTCCCAGCCACCCTCCCTTTGGTGGTGACGGGATTTGTCTTTCTCAATGTCTTGATGGCTTTAGTCTGGAGTGGGGGTGGGGCCCACAAAGCCTGTATGGGATTAACTCAGGACATCCTTTCCCCCTAACAATCCCACAGTCATTCCTTCCTTCACCCATATGTCCACTGGTAACCAACGCAAGGAATGTTACTTTGGGCTGGTCAACTGCGGGTATAACTTGGAAACCACGCAGGGCACCAAACTGTTGTAGAGCAACCCCGATACAAAACGGGGTGCCTGACGGTGGGTCCTCACCCGCGCGCTTAAAAGGACTTATCTCCACCCTCAGGTCCCAGCCACCCTCCCTTTGGTGGTGATGGGATTTGTCTTTCCCAATGTCTTGATGGCTTTGGTCTGGAGTGGGGGTGGGGTCCACAAAGCCTGCATGGGATTAGCTCAGGACATCCTTTCCCCCTAACACACTGACCAGCCAGTGTGTGTCAGGCATTGTTCCAGAACTGGGTGTTCAGTAGTGCCAAGAAGGTCCTTGTCCTCCCTCTGCCTGTGTTCTCACGGGTGAGGGAGGACCCTAAAGAGAAAATTAAAGAATCATAATAAAAAGATAGGAAATATCACCAGGGACTTGAGAAAGCCTTCCAGCTTCTCAGAATGTTGCTTTCTGCTTCCTAATCATTGCAGGCAGAGACCGCCTCTGAGCTCTTTCCAGAGTTCCT